GTGTAGGGGTAGGGTTAGGATGAGGGTTAGGGTTAGGGGTAGGGTTAGGGTTAGGGTTAGGGTTAGGGTTAGGGTTAGGGTTAGGGTTAGGGTTAGGGTTAGGTTTAGGTTTAGGGTTAGGTTTAGGGTTAGGGTTAGGGTTAGGTTTAGGGTTAGGGTTAGGGGTAGGGTTAGGGTTAGGGTTAGGGTTAGGGTTAGGGTTAGGGTTAGGGTTAGGTTTAGGGTTAGGTTTAGGGTTAGGTTTAGGGTTAGGTTTAGGGTTATGTTACAGTGCACTTCTGTTGGCGTGCTGTTGTCGGCGCGTTTAGCGCTCATTCGTCTCCACGGTTTTGACGGCACGGTTTTGTCACTGCGCTTTAGTCACACGCGCTTTTGTCATACGCGCATTTGTGGTGGAACCAGTGGAGTTAGCATTGCAGGGCGTGTAACATAAGCAACCTTGAAGCCCAACCCAATGGTCTTCAGAACTCAATATAGAACACACTGCAGTATTGTAATCCAAACAACAAAGTGGTCAAGGCATTAGAATCTGGAACATATTAATATTTGTAATAATCTGCTTTTATTGCATTGTCTGACAACTATTTGGCACCCTTTTTTAGGGTGAATTGAGCCCTTTTAGGTAGATTGGGGGGGTGTCAAATGTTTCCCTTTAAGATCATTAAGAGGAATATGCTGGAATTTGTCAGACAAAATAGCTGAAAGCTGCTTTCCAGTCTTAAATCAAATACTGCATAGGTTTTTAGGGAAAAGTCTGGGCAATTTGATCCTGTTGCACCTCAGGAATCGGCAGTTTCCTCATGACTGTGATCATATATTAAGTCCATGTCTATCCATTTCCATCACAATGGAATGTATAGTGGAGTGTTATGTAATTCTTTCCTCCTTGAGATAAAAGGTTGTCTCTTCTTGCTTTAAAGCGGTGATGGTTCAACCATTCCTCAAAAAGGCATTAGATTGAATTGTACTGGACAATGTTTGTCCAATCTCCAATCTTCCTTTTTAGGGAAGGTTGTTGAGAAGGTGGTCATTCACAGTGGTGGGATTGAATTTTTTTTACTACCGGTACTGTGGTCATAGCTTGGTGTGGCTTGGTGGGCATAGCTTATGGGCATGACAGGAGAAGGATACTGTAAAAACTCCATTCCCACTTCACTCCGGGGGAAGGATACTGCAAAATCCCCAATCCCTCCCAATCAACGGGGACTCGGGAGGCAGAGAATTGATGGGGCCAGTCAGAGGTGGTATTTACCAGTTCTCTGAACTACTCACAATTTCCGCTATCGGTTCTCCAGAACTGGTCAGTACCTGCTGAATACCACCTCTGGTCATGCAGAAACTTTAGAAGATCATCTTTGTTATGAATTATTGTAACATGATTTACATGGGGCTGTCCTTGAAAAGCATCTCAAAAGTTAAGTTGGTGAAAAATTTATCCAGATGGGAAGTTATATGCACTCCATGATCAGTGCATGTTATACCTCTGATCTGCAAACTACATTAGTTGCCCATTTGCTTCTGGGTTCAACTCAAGGTGTGCTAATAACTTATAAAGCACTACATGAAATGAGATGAGGTTATTTGAGAAGCCCCTTCTCTCACACTGTATTTACTGTTGATCTCCGGGTGAGCTTCAAGGTGCTACTTATCACCTATAAAGCCCTTCATGGTAGTGGGCCTGGGTACTTGAGAGACCGCCTACTGTCAATTACCTCCACTAGACCGATTCGATCGCATCGATTAGGCCTCCTCCCAATCCCATCTTCTAGCCAGTGCAAACTGGCAACTACCCGGAGGAGAGCCTTCTCGGTGGCTGCTCCGTCCCTTTGGAATGAACTCCCCGTGGAGATTTGGACCCTTACCACCCTCCAGTCCTTCCGCGCCGCTGAAAAGATCTGGCTGTCCCGGCTGGCCTGGAGTTAAGATTGTAGCCCCACTCGAATTGTGCGATTGTTGTGTTTTCTTTTTAACATGCTGTATTGTCTATTGTTTGTCTTTTCCCCCTCCCTTTTTTGAATTATGAGCCGCCCTGAGTCCCCTCAGGGAAAAGGGCGGCATACAAATAAAGGCAAAACAAAAACAAACTCACTGCACCAGATCTGGCAAGAGGGGCATCCTCCAGGTCCCATGAGCCAAGGAGTGTCATTTGGACCAATTATAGCTTCCATGTGGTCTTCCAAGAGTAGCCACATGCAGAGCAGTATTACAATAGTCTATACACAAGCTGACTAAGCTATTCATACTGTGAGAAGTATCTTCCAATCCAAGAAAGATGTAATTGGCACTAAAGAGAGATGTGTACAAAGCCCTTCTGGTGATAGCTGTCACCTCTTCATTGAACAGAAGTCAAATGTATGGAGTATTCTTTAAATTAGTGATGCCACCCCATCAAGAATTAAAGATAATAAATCAGTCCAACTTGCAGATGTTTAAAATGAAAATCACACAGAGTTGGCCTGTACCTCTTTCTCCCCAATCATCATCCAAGATAGGGCCTCCACAGTTTTACTCAAATGGGTTTCTTTGCAAACTAGAGTGAGCCATAAAAAAATAACCAAGCTTTGTTACAATGCAAATGAAGCCAAGAAGTATTTCACAGTTTAAGCATGTGATACATTCAGTCAATATACTGAAAGATTAGCACTGACAAACTGATTAGATTATTCATTACCTGTAGTCAGCTATTTCACAATAGCTTTGATTGATACAAATCCAAGGGTAGAAAAATCTAAGTTAGATAGAATTGAGAATATTTTCTTTCAGTTGGTGCCATCTTGAAGATTTACTATGCACTGCAAGTAGACCTGCAGCATTTTCCCCTTATGCAACTACTCTTTAGTTACATAATAAAAATGGATATTTTCTGATATGGGAAGTAGTAAGATAAGGCTAAATCATAGCATCAGTCATGATCTGAGCATGAGATATTGTCAGCTTCATGGGGACAGAAGATAGAATGAGGGTCACCAGGCCATTTTGGTGTGGTTTCCATAATGAATGAAAGTTGCTTTGCATGTAGCCTTATTGTCAATTATCCCATTCTGGTTTGTTCCAGGGCATGAAGGAAAGATTGGGATGGCAGCTATACGGCTGAAGGATGGGTGCCCATTTGATGGAAAGAAACTGTTCATACATACCAAGGATTATCTGCCTAGCTATGCCATACCCCGCTTCATTCGTATCCAGGTGAGAAATCGTTGATTTATGCTCTTGCTTACCATTAGAAAAAATAACTTAAAACCACATACCTCAGCATCTTAAAGTATAATAGAAGTGCTGATGCCAGTCATAACATTAGTGGAAAGGAAGTAAATGTAGGTTTGATTTTATTTAAAAAAAGAACAACAATAACTGGAATAAATTATAGTAAGAATTGCTAGCAATGAAAGTTATCAACTGAATCTGCATGGAGTTTCTTTGCTTTAAAAATACTTTCACTTTTTTAAAAAGTAGAAGTATATTGATTATTTATGAGTTGTAGTGGTTAGAGTACAGTACTGCAGGCTACTTCTGCTGATTGCCACCTGCCTGCAATTTGGCAGTTCAAATTTCATCAGGCTCAAGGTTGACTCAGCCTTCAATCCTTCTGAGGTGGGTAAAACGAGGATCCAAATTGTTGGGGGCAATAGGCTGACTTTGTAAACCATTAAGAGAGGGCTGTAAAGCACTGTGAAGCGATATATAAGCCTAAGTGCTACTGTTATTAAAAAATCATAGCTAGGAATAAAAATGGAAGTGGGTTGGTACCGGTTCGCATCGGTTCAGGTGAACTGGTAGTGGCAATCATGACTGGGTTGCTGAACTGGTAGGGATGGCAGGCTGGTCATGCCCCTGAACCATGGTCGCCCATGCTGTTTGCTGGCATGTTTTTTTGTCATTTCATAACGTTCTGGGTATGTGCACCACAATTTAGAGGCAACTGCACATGTGCAAGCAATGTGCGGCAGGTGTGCACATGAGCAAAGTGAGCAGCACATGCACAAATGCCACAGTAATGCCGGCAGCAACCCACCCCTGGAGTAATGAAAATAAAAAGTGTATATAAATTCACTTGAGATGAATTTTAGCAAGGCAAGGCAATGCTGAAAATGGGGAAAGCCTTGGGCAAAGGTTGAAAAAGACAATGTGATGATGCTTGTGGGGAGTGGAGGAGATGGGGGGGGGGGGACAGGTGAAGATATCACAAAGGGATGCCAGAGGAGATACAGGAGATGGGATAGAGAAGATTAAGGAAGGCAGTAGCCCATAATAAGAACTGAAGAAGGCAGGAGGAAACCTGGGTAAACACAGTAAAAGCAAACAGCAAGCAGAAAACACTGAATGAAGAGTAGGAAGATTGGGAGAAACAAAGTTGCATATTTTGCATTCCTGGTACAGTCAAAGATAAGCATATCTCTGTGCTCAGGTTACCTGCCTCTAGCTTGAAGAAGGCAAGAAAGCATTCATCCCCTTTCTGCAATTCAGCATGAAAATGTCCTCGTTACTCTTTAGTATATGACATATACTAATTTTTAATTTTTAAAGATAATCTGTCCTCCATATCTGTGACCTATTAGTTGCGCAATCGGATAGGTGGTGTAAACAGCTGTTCTTAATATCCCCAACATTTGCTCATTCGTGCCTCACTACACAGTAAGAAGGCAGTGTGATGGATTTTCTCGTGGGGAAATAACATTCGTGGGGATCCATCGAACAGTTTCTTCCCTTACACTAGGAGAGCAAGGGAAGCAAAATTCACTAGCTTTGTTAATGAGGCAGGGCAATACTGAAGAACAAATTCCTGTCTCTGTTTTCACTACTGCCTTATACTTCCTGCAGGAAAAGCTGGAGATCACAGGAACTTTCAAGCAGTGCAAAACTCAGCTGGTGAGTGATGGATTCAATCCTGCCACCATCAGTGATCCCCTTTTCTTCCTGGATGACTCAGAGAAGAACTACATACCCTTGACTGAGGAGATCTACTGCTCCATTTTAGAAAATAAAAGAAAACTCTGAAGGAAAATTCAAAGAGGAGCTTAGCAGTGTTACTTGAACAGCTTTAGAAGTGGCAAGATCTCTGATTGCAGCCATTCATGTTTTGATTTTGCTCAAGAAGGAAAGATATAGGGCCAGAATATTAATTCTTCTTAATGTATTTGTATATTCTTGAGACATCTGTTTAATCCAGTAGCTGGGAAATTTTTGGAAATAATAATAAAATGTTGCCATTTTCTCTTGCCACAAGAAACATTTACTTTGGAGTGAAGCTTATTCTCAAGAAAGTATTTGGGAAGGTTAACTCTTTTCCTTCAGCACCATTCCAAATCCTGCTTTGTATCCAATGTGGGAGAAGTTATATCAAAGGAGGCTCAAAACATCAATATATTATTAAAGTTCACATCAATACATGTTCATGCACATGTCTAACATTCCCTCCTCCTCAAAAGCACTCATTTCTAAACTCAGGTCCTGTCAAAATACCCCTTTGTATATTATTATTTTAAAATATATTTTAATATCAATGTAATCTAGCAACCAATCTTGGACAAGAGAGGCCTGGATTCAAATTACCATTTGAGCTGTATGCTCACTGGATGAACTGGGCCACTTTTTCTCACCTTAATCGATCTCATAAGCCTGCAATTAAATGGGTAAAATATGGGAGGACCCTCATCACACTTTTGTATCCCATCTCAAGGAGGGAAAAAAGGGATATTGTAATCTTCACCTTGACAAACAAGATCAAAACAGCCACTTCCACAAATATTTTAGATTTTTTTAAAAAGTGAGAACTATATTGCAACAACCAGAGAAACATGATACTCAAAGCACAACTGTAGTGTGCTTTCATGCTTTTCTGCTCATCCATCTGAGAAGTATAAATCTGTTTCAAATTCAATCTGAAGTTCAAATTGAATAAAACTCAGGAGCATTCCTAGTTAGAAGTACCTCTTATGGGCAGCCTAAGCCTATAAGAGATACTCTGATGCTTTCTAGAAGTGATGGGAGAAATTCTCCCAGAACTCCTAAAAGGAGATACCATTGGAGTTTGTGCTATAAATTAAGAGATGTAGATCTATTTTTTGTAATCTAATCTAAGATTTTGACAATGCACATCTATTCTTTCTGTTCAGACTTCAATGGAAACAATAGACATATAAATATAATTTTATCATCCTGAGAGAATAATATTCATAATTCCAACAGCAATTATGTGAAGAGAATATTTGATCATGAAATCAATTTGGTAAATCAATATGTTAATCATTTATTAACATAAAATAATTTATTTCCTGCTTCTTCTATTTTTGAAACTATTGTACAGGGGATGGTCATCATATAGACAGAGCTGAGCAAACAGTAGATTGTAGCTGTGATCATAATTGCAATTGAACAGCCATAACCATTTACATAGGCATTTATCAAAAACTTACATTTCTTGAAAAGGGAAATGGGGGGGGGGCAGATATTCTGAGAACCTTTCAAATTCTTCATCTTGAAAACCGAATTAATACTTTGCCAAAGTATTGATCATGTTATAAGGAATAACTTGGGATAAAGATAATTTACCCAGTATCAGACAATAAACTTGAGGATAAGCAAACTTGAGGGTAAGCAGCGATTTGAACTCTAGGGTAGGCCTACTTTAACATTTATATGATTTACTATCCCTTGCTTAAACACTTTTCTTTGCCAATAGCACTAAACTTTGGAACCGCTTTGCAAACTCAATAAACTCTTGGCAACATTGCTCTAATAAAATAATCAAGTCACCTGAATTGCATTATTCCAACAAGTTCTGACTTTCTTTATTGGGCACAATGAATTACGCTTTTGCGGTCAACAACCTTTCTTCATCACTTTCAGTGGTCAGAAAACATTCCCAGGAGGGAAGCCATTTGGAATGTGGCCTTGAGGCAAACCTGGTTAGGGAGCAGCAGTTTGATGGCCTTGATTGAGGTCAGCAACTAAGCAGGGTTGAAACTGGCTAACATTTGGAAAGGGGGTCACCAGGAAATCTCAGGGTTGAGATTGACATAATCTAGATGTCAAAGAAACATGAGAGGCAACAATGGAAAATCACTTCTGCATTATTGTCAAAAAAATTATATACCATAGATACAGCCGCAAAGACACAAGGAATTGAACTCAACTCAAAGGACCTTTTATTGAGGTAAACATGAGATTTCCAACTAAAGACATTTACTTTGGCATAGAAATCCTTTACGGAATACAACTTAAATCCAAAATACCTTATACTCAGTGGTGGGATTCAATTTTTTTTTACTACTGGTTCTGTGGGTATGGTTTTGTTGGTGTGGTGTGGCTTTGTGGCCATGGCTTTGTGGCCAAGGCAGGGGAAGGATACTACAAAATTCCTTCCCCACTCCTGGGGGAAGGTTACTGCAAAATCCCCATTCCCTCCCTACCCCACTAACCTGCTTTCCAGCTCTGTTCTCCTGTTCAGTGCAACAAAAGATTAGCTGGGCAGCTGGGAGTCAGTGGGAGTGGGCCCACTTATTTTCTGGTTTGAACTAAGCTTAATTTTTTAATGCGTTTCAAGAAAAACCCTTTAATTTTATATTACTTTTTCTAGAAGGTTCAAAGTACCGAAACTTATAGCAATTAGTTGTTCAACTGTTCGACTATCTGAGTCAAATCTCTTTCCCTTCCTCTCTTTCTATCCTCCTGTTATGCGTGCAAGTAAGATATAATAAGTTAGAGCAGCTGCTCAGAACTAAAACTTAAAACATGTATAAAATAAAAACATGTAGAGAATAAAAATTTGATTGCATTAAATCAAATTGGGGGAAAGATCAATTGTGCTAAATTGGCTTTATCCTGTAGGAATGGCATTTCATGCAGATAACACAATTGTTGGGGACACAGTGGTCTAATGCTTAAAATGCTGGACTTATCAACCAGAAAGTTGACAGTTCAAGATCCAAGCATCACATGATAGGATGAGCTCCTATTTTTGCCCCATCTCCTGCTACCCTAGCAGGTTAAAAGCATGCAAATGCAAATAGATACATGGATCTATTTCCATTTCAATGGGAAGGTAACACCATTCTGTGTGCCTTGGCATATAGTCAGGTGGGTCATATGGCCATGGAAGGGTCTTTGGACAATCTAGGCTCCCTCTGCTAGGAAACAGAGGGAAACCACTCCCTAGATTCAGACCCAACTGGACAGAGAACCTTTACCTTTAACACAATTGTTGAACATTCATTGGTTATTTATTCTTACTCAGCCTGCTCCCATGTTCATTGCTTTTTACAAGAATTCTAATGCATATTTGCTCCACTGACCAACTCCAACCCAACATGTCCCAAGCCAGAGATCCACTTTTTTTGCTTTGATTTCTGACTCCATTTCAGTCCCAGCTTATGTTGAGGTAGCCTTAGTTGTATTATTTTCAAATTGTATTATCACTTTTCCCAACCTATTTGCTGATGTCCAAGGTGCACATCAAGATGTATTAAATCTGTAAGGCTTTGTCACCTATTGGCGTGGAGGGGAGACTGATTGCACTGACAAACAGGCAATGGAAGCAATATGGAGAGTAAACATCATGATGACCATACAGTACTCTGATTCATGAATGGGTGAAAAACACTTCACTTCAACAGTAGGGAAGGCTCTATGAGACAGTGACTATATCAAAGTTATTCCATAAACTTTATGGTTGCATATTGTTTAGTCAGGTTGGGAATTTTAGAAGTAATAATCCAATACACTGCAACAAACAGGGAAAGGTTGATTTTCCATCTCTAGTTTCCATGTCTGCTATATATTCTGCAGATTGTGTAGAGCTCCTAAAACCTGAAATCCCATGCTCCCAAAGCCACTCAATTTTATCAGGGTTCAGATGGAGTCTGTTGCCTCCCATCCACATCCCACTGTAATCCCGCTGATTACAGATGTATGCTAGGATCTTCCAGTCTACCAATCAAAGGCCAGACAAGGAATAATGGAATGAAACTGATCAAGAAGAGATTCAACCTAGAAATAAGGAGAAATTTTCTGACAGTGGGAACAATCAACCAATAGAACAGCTTGTCTTCAGAAGTTGTGGGAGCTTCATCACTGGAAACTTTCAAGAAGAGACTAGACTGCCACCTGTCAGAAATGGTGTGCTTGGATGGGGGGTGTGGTTGGACTAGATGCTTGGACAGGGGGTTGGACTAGATGACCTACCAAGTACCTTCCAATTCTGTTATTCTGTAAACTTCTGTAACTAAGTTGATCCTTTGTCAATCCAAAATATCAGCTTGAACCTTCTCTATATTACATAATTAATTAAATCATGATTATAGTATGTTAGTCTCAATACCTAGTTGCAAACCTTTTAAGCCTATTTAATTATATTATAATCTCACTTAGAGCTCATTTGTAGAACATACACATTGGAACATACACACTGTATATTGTACAGAAAAATACAGTGTTCTTTACCCATGGTCTTGGATCGTACTGTTTCCCAGTTGATTGGTTGATAGGATTTTGGAAAGAATAAGTAAATACAGTAAATATGTCACTTTGAATAACTAAGAGAAAGGATAAACTAATCAGTCTAATTTATGCTGATTACAAGAAACCTTAATGCCTAGCATTTAGGTTGTATAAATGCTAACAATATTGATTTTATTAGTGTGAATATTTCAAAATCTTCCTAAATAATTCTAGTTGAATTTGCAGATTTGTTATTCTGTCATCAGTATTTTTATAGAAGAGAGAGGAGAGATTAGGAAAGTAAAAGAACAAGTGATTTATTTTATCTCCCTCGCTCGCGGCCAGGCTTTGGTCCCGCCTTTCCCACTCTGCGTGGGAGAATGTGTGTGTGTGTGTGTGAGAGAGAGAGAGAGAGAGATTGTGTGTGTGTGTGTGAGAGATTGTGTGTGTGTGTGTGTGTGTGAGAGAGAGAGAGAGATTGTGTGTGTGTGTGTGTGTGAGAGAGAGAGATTGTGGGTGTGTGTGTGTGTGNGTGGAACCTCTTCTAACCGGTTCGGTAGATTTGACGAACCGGTTCTACCGAATAGGTGCGAACTGGTAGGAACCCACCTCTGCTGCAGGGTGATTAGATCTGGCCTGCGGGGCTGCCCTGGAAACAGCAAAGGACCGGCCTGCAGTGCCTCTGCCAGCAAAAATGGAGCTTGGGAGGGCCACGTGCTCAGGCCTCCACAGGAGCCCCCAACACGAGTGATGTTGAGCTGGCCACACCCACCCTGGCCATGCTCATTGCCCCCCCCCTCCCCCAGGTCAAACATAACCCTGATGTGGCCCTCAATGAAATCGAGTTTGACACCCTTGAGCTAGACAATGCTGTACTGAGCATATTGAAGGAGCAAAGCAATAAGAGTTGAAAGAGACATCCTCGCCTACGATTGAATACCAGAGACCAACACTGGCTACTATTAACCATAACTAGCCTACTTTAAAGGGATGTGGTGGCTCAGTGGCTAAGACGCCAAGTTTGTCTATCAGAAAGTTTGGCAGTTCGGTGGTTTGAATCCCTAGCGCTGCGTAACGGAGTGAGCTCCCATTACGTGTCCCAGCTTCTGCCAACTTAGCAGTTTGAAAGCAGGTAAAAATGCAAGTAGGAAAATAGGAACCACCTTTGGTGGGAAGGTAAGTGGGTTCCGTGCACCTTCGGCGTTTAGTTATGCTGTCCACATGACCATGGAGACGTCTTTGGCCATCCCTGGCTCTTTGGCTTTGAAACAGAGATGAGGACCGCCCCCTAGAGTCGGAAATGACTAGCACATACTGTATGTGCGAGGGGAACCTTTACCGTTACCTTTAGCCTACTTTCCTTTGCATCTAAAAGGGATATGAAGCTTTCTGCATATGAAATTATTCCTGCTTTCTCTGCTGTCTTAGGAAGCTGCCTATAAAAGATTTTCTCTCATTCTTTCTACTTTGTCCATCAGCGATGAGCTCGCTGGCTAGCTCATCTATATGCACCAGCTTTGATCTTTGAAATTGTTGTTGGGAGTTAGGGACTTCCTTATTTCCCATGTGCTGCAGGAGAAGAAATGTCACAGAAGTTGCTTTGATCTCCTTCCCCATTTCTGACTGTGATCGCAGAGGCCGAACCAATCAAGTTGCTTGTGGAAACCTGCAGTGCAGGAGCATGGAGTGTGACACCACATTGTTTCCCATCTACTAAATGGGAAGGAGTTCCCTTGTGTTGTCAGCCTCTTCAGCAATAGATAGTGCTGTCTTTTCTTGTAGGTGTCCCCTAGATTTAGGGGGGGGGCAGTTTGCTAACGCACATAAATTGAACAGCATCAGTTCACAAACGTTGACACTGCTTTCCTTCTTGCCTTTTTCATTAGTAAGATGGTTTTTGTGAGGATTGATATATTTCCCCCCTGGCCTGCTCTGAGTAGTTTTACTAATGCTGGACCTTCATAATTTGATAACCAGAATATATTCTTGTGGAAGGTTTGGCTTGCAATTAACTGTCCAGGAACTTCAGATGTAATGCAGTGGTGGGATTCAAATTTTTTTTACTACTGGTTCTGTGGGCATGGCTTGGTGGGTGTGGCAGGGGAAGGATACTGTAAAGTCTCCTGTCAGGGTTCCAATTAGCATCCAAAAGTAAATCAGAACCCAAAGTAAAGTATTGCTCAAAGTTCCAATTTATTAAG